CCTGTTGCACTAATACTGTTGTCTTCTTAAAAGTAACACGTATGTTCGTGTTTCATATATTTTATTGCATGTTTCGACCTCACTCGGTCATCTTCATGTGTACATACATTGCTGAAGTTTTTGCACAGCCCATTCACATGCGACGTACTAGGATGACAGTGCAACAATTTTAGCAACAGTATGTACACGTGATGGTGGCCGAGTGAATGCGTTTAAGATTGTGGTTACAAATGTATACAAAAGGCAAAAATAAAAATTCAATTGTTGATATTCAATTGTTTTCCTGAAAGACTCACTGAAAATATTGTAGCTTGTACAGCCGTTGCTGTGCAATGACTTCGAGATAGGCGAATAAACAACGATGTTATGCATCCTGTTTCGAGGCAACGGATCGGTAAACACGTTCCCGCTGCAACGAATACGCACGCAACGATAGAGTTACTGTTGGAAACGGTGTTTTCTACTCGGTCCTTGCAAAGGAGTTACAAGGAAGTCAATTTGGGTAACCCAATTAGTTCAGATCTGAGTTCTGCAAGAGAGGCTGAGAAGAGGCGGTGATATAGTTCAGTTGATAGCGCAGTTTTGGAGTGTTCACCAGCTGGCAACGGCGTGACCACAGTAGCTGAAGAATCTACATTGTTAAGAATCGTTACCAGGAACGATCACTGAAAACAGGCAGAGAAGACTCAGCGTGTAGTGATTTATAGTGTGGAAATCAGCAATAGCACTGTAATTACTTGTAGTTCCGAATGGCGTGTATAAGTGGTCCATAAATCCATTCACCAATTTATATCCCGTCTGTAGTTACTCAAATCATGATATATTTTTTTTATCTGTATCAGAAATTTTTCTGTTGTATAAATTGTAGCAAAGATAAAAATCGTTGCGTATTATATTCACGTTTCCTTATCCATATCTGTCCAAAGTCGAACACGGTACGTTTTAACGACTTCAGGGACTACAATACTGGGTACAGGGAGCGATTCCTTCTTGACTCTTGTCACCTATCTGCGATTCAGTAAGCATGTTAACGATATGGTACTTTTAAATTGAAAAATAAAAAAAAAAATCCTAGAATTCTGTCTCCATAGTAACTTGTCATTTTGGTCCCTTCAGTTTTTTGTTCTGCTGGTAAGAATGCCCTTTGATATTACATTATTTGACATTTAGCTTCTGGGCCGTATTCTGTGATTAATAAACCAGATGATGACAGATGGAGACTGGTACTATATAATTTATTTTACTCTTCATCAACCAGTGTTTTCATTAGTTCACTAGACACTGCAAGTGAACCAATACGAAGGTAAACTCTTTGGGCATATTAAATAGTTCGGTAAAAATTCGACTTATAACACTTCTGTTAGTGATTATGCCTGACTTTGTAAATTAGTATGAACTTAATGGTTTATTTATAATTTGGGAGTTATAACAATAACAGTTATAAAGAGCAATAATCCAGATCCTCAGCATCTGAGGCAATGTGATTTTGTAATTTTTAATTGTTGTTAAGTACAATATCGTAGTGTCACCTTGCTATGTTCAAATAGTGGTATTATTTAGGCTTAAGAGAACTTACCAAGTAGCCAGCACTATAGAAGCAGATAAAATCCTGTTTGGGTGAAATTTCAGTACTGTGAAGCTAGGCACCACTTCGGAATTTCTTACCTGTGTCCGTGACTCGGGGCTCACCGGTTAGCAAGTCACGGCCGAACAAGCCAACCTTGGTGCGAGTGTCAGCGTATCGATCAGCATTTTACGATATTCTGCTACGAACAAAAAATAACCTAATTTTACTTCAGGAATGGAAAGGGGACAGTGAGCCAGGTGCTTGAATTTCAGTCAGTATTCGTGACAAGGAAATGGAATAGCTCGCAGATGGCATCAACGATTTCAGGTCATCGATAAGCAACGGTGGCGTCATTAAAATTCCTTGAGCAGACAGCAGACCGTAGTTTCCTGTGTGATGTATATTTAGTGAAATATTTTCACCTTATTTCATGGTTTGAAGGGCCGTGACGTACCTTAGACAGTCGGACGCCAACTGCTCTCTAGTGAAGCTAGATTTGAATCACAAACCAAATGCGTATATGAACAGCATTGTCATAACGGTAATGAGACAAATTTTATTGACTACTTGGGCTTTCCCATGGCAGTCACCGTTTTGCATTCACCCACAATAGCGTGCGACAGGTGACCCAGTCCAGCGCGATATTAAACGTTGGCTAGAGTTTTCAGCTTATTTATTTTTGTATGGTAAGTAGTTGTAGGCGAATGTCTCCCTAAAAAGGTTCATAGTTCTTCCGCAGGCTAAAGAAATCGCCACTCTTAAGAAAAAGATTCATTAACATTTTTAAAATGTCAAAATCCTGATTCACTTAAATCCAGTCTATCGTTCCACACTCATTTCCTCAGATTTGTTTTAACATTACCATCTCATCTACGCCCAAGTCTTCCAAGTGGTCTGTTGCTTTGAAGCCATAATATTGTATACATTTCTAATCTTCCCATGAGTGCTATATTCCCATCAGCCTGTTCCACCTTGACTTCCCATCCTAACAATATTATGTGCAAAGTACAAACTATGAAGCTTCCCATTATGTATTTTAGAGAATAGAATAGATTGAAATACAGTATAGTTCAATAGAACAAAACATGAGAGTAATTTAATGTCACAATAGAAGTTCGTTAAAACTCTGTGGTCAGTAATTATACAAAGAAGGGCGTATCACATATGTGTTGTACACGAATGAATTCCAGCATAGTATTTGACGATTATTATGAAGACAACGGCAAGTCAAGGCGGGAACAGAACCAGCAGCCGAAACTCTGTACGAATGTATGTTTCAAATAAGCCTATACCTCAGACAATAGGTAATATTCTGTATAATATCGATATACTGAATAAACAGGACCAAACAACTGATAGGTATTTTTGTAATTTCCTAACTTAATTAAAGTAAGTAGGTAAGTATGTAAGTAAAGGTATCCCTGTAACATGCCGTGGAGGCCCATAGGGTTGTGAGACTTAAGGGTCCCACATTATCTAAACAATCGGTTCAAAGATGGCGGTAAGATTGTTAGCCTTACGCGCCGGCCGCGCTTTACTCCCCAGTAAAATTAATTAATTCCTGGTACTCATTTCTGTTAGAGGCTGAGTCAACTCCAGGGTCATTGTGCGGATGAAAGGATTAGGTCAATTGAAAAAAATTCAATGACCCCATCGGGATTTGAACCCACGACCTTACGGCTTGTAGCATAGTCCCTCAACCAACTAAGCTACCGCGTTAAAGAACATGTAAATTCATTCTTGTTTAAAATGGAAATTTTGATCTTAAAAAAAACGAAAACAGCATTTTTTTTTATATTATTGCTTCCAAAATTTAAAATATTTTTTTTTAATAAAACAGTTGAAATAGTCTTCAGGATTTTGATAATCTTGAAGAACTATATCTTCTGAGACATAAATCCGTGTAGCCCGGTGAAAGCCAATATACTCATCCGAGAGGTCGGTTGACTTTTATCGGACTGCATTGTGTTATGTCCTTGAAGATATAAATCTTCACAGCTACCATTGTGTAAACCTCAAAAACTATACAGTGGGAATTTTATTAATTTTAAAGCATTCAACATTTTCAAACTTCAAAATTTTTAAAAAATAAAAAACTTAGATAATTTTGCAAAATAAAAAACTCGAATACTTTCTACCACTTCATAATTTGGACAACTTCGAACATGTACAATAAGTTGATATTCTCGGAAATTAGCGACTACTTGTAACTTTAAAATTTAAAAAAAAATTGCAGAATTTCTAAAATTTCGAAACATCGGGAATTTACAAAAATTTAAAAGGATGCGATTGTTTAACTCCTAAAACTGTTAGAAATTTAAAAAGAACAAAACTTGAAACTGTTTTATAATTGTCGAAAATTTAAAAAAATTTGACAAGTTTAGATAATTTGAAAATCCCCAAAATGTTCAGAATTTAAAAAATTATAAGATTCCGAAATTTTATGTCGTAAATTTTCCAAACCCTCAAGAACATAAAAATTACAGAAAATTAAAAATATGTACCTTTCGAAAATATAGACAATATTATAAATTTAAAACATTTTATAGACCACTGCAATGAGCAGGTGGGTGTGGCGTGCTCCCGTGCACCGTAACCAAACGTAGCATCACTTAAGACAGAGTGACCAAGCTCGGCCCGAATGCGTAGGCGAAAACTCAGTGGTCTTCTGGGCCAACATTAAATAATCTAAACCAATCCGCCAAGTTTTCCCTGATAGCTTAGGTGAATGCGCAGCGGCCTGGTGGGCCAATCTAACCTAACGTAACCTAGCCTAAGCTAACGCAGCCTGACCAAGATCTCCTCGAATGAGCAAGTGGATGTTCAATTGTCTATTACGCCAGCCTTACGCAAAGGAACCAATGCAATCTGATCAAGCACTGTCCGAGTGTTCAAGTGATGGAATGAGAATTGGTTTGGGAAGCCGAAGTATTCGGAGGAAACCTGTCCCAGTGACATTTTGTCCACCACAAATCCCATATGACTTGACCTGGGATCGAACCTCGGGCCTCCGTGGTGGGAAGCCTGCGACTAACTGCCTGAGTTATGACACGGCCCTAGACAAAGCTCTGCCTGAATGAGCAAGTTTGATACGCCAACTTAATCAAGCCTTACTCCATCAGAGCAGTATGTTTCAACGCACAAGTGAATGTTTAGTGATCTGATGCATGAAACTAACCTATCATAACCTAACCTGATCTGGCCCAGGTCTGCTCGATTGCGTAGTCTGAAGCGTCAAATTAACGTAACATCACCTAACCAGTCCTAAACCAACCCGACCGAGCGCAGTCCGAATAGGTCCGAATTCACAGTCCGGTGACTGAGTTCGAGGATGCGTAGTTGTCTGGCAGTCCAACGACCTACACGCCGCACACGACCCGTACCAAAATGACCAAGTTCTGCCCGAACGTGCCCGAATGCATAGGTAGATGCGCAGTTGTCTAATGCGCCTTCTTGCCGTAACATAACCTAATTCAGCAGCTTCAGCACCGTTCAGCACTGTTTGCATAGCGTCCGAATTCGGACCGTATACATAAAATGCTGAGAGGACTTGTGTCATTTGTTCGTGTAAAAGTGTGATACTCACCTACTGTGCCTCTTCTTTTCTTAACCTCTCCCAAAATTCTTATACGTAATAAGTTTAGTTTCTACATCGGATATTACGTGTTGTTTAATTATTTAAGCACATGAATAACTTTACTTGTTTTTACACAAAACAACGGAATAAATTCATTTGCTGTATAATTTGCAAAAGTTGTGCACGTACTCGTTTGTCTGTGTAAAAAGATTATGAGACTGCCAATTGTAAGTGGTATAGTTTGAGGAGTACAGTAATTCTTTACTCTTTAGCTATAATGCTCTTGTATAAAATTTATTGCATTGTCTATGAGCAGTACATTAGATTGAGTTTTGCTAACGACATCGCTGACAACCAGGCACAGTTAACGCCTTATCTGAAACCCACGAAAGTAGCTATATGCTGAACGCAGATAATTGACGTCCGTGAAAGAATTTGTGTATTGTAGGTTACTGTATCAGAATGCCGAAGGAAAACTCATTGGATTATGAAATTCAGGTACTGTACGATATTATATTCTATTAACACATTTAATCAATGTGGTAGCGGTATGAGAAACCAAATTTTATATCAAATTTGTAATAATAAAACTGAAAACACTGTACTCTATATACACTGAAGTGCCAAAAGTCATGGATAGGTACCTAGTATCATGTAGGACCCCCTCTAGCCTGGCGAAGTGCAGCAACTCGACGTGGCATCGATTCCACAAGTGGACAGAAGACCTCTGGAGAGATGTTAAGCTATGCCATCTGGATAGCAGCCCACAGCTCCCTGGTATTTGTAGGTGCAGGATTTTGGGTGCGAATGAACCTCTCCACCACGTCCCATAAATGCTTGATTGGGTTCATGTTGGGCGAACATGATGGCCACACCATTCGTCGGAACTCTCCAGAATGCTCCTTGAATCAATTCTGGACAACTCCGGCCCGATGACACGGTGCATTGTCCTGCTGGAATAACCCATCCTTTTGGGGGTACATGGAAGTCCATGAAGGGCTGCAAATGGTCACCAAGCAGTGTAACGTAGCAGTCACCTGTCAATGACGTGTTTAGGTGGACGAGTGGACCCAACTCATGCCACGTGAACACTCCCCACACCAGTATGAAACCACCACCAGCCTGCATGGTGCATTGTTGACAGCTGGGGTCCACGGCCTCATGGGGTCTGCGCCACACCCTAACCCTACCATCCGCCCGAAACAACTGGTACCGTGACTCATCGGACCACTCCACATGTTGCCAATCCTCCAGGGTCCAATTAGCAACATCACAAGCCCAGGTGAGACGCTGTGCCCGGTGTCGTGGTGTTAACAGAGGCACTCTGGTTGGTCTTCTACTCCCATATCCCATGGAAGCTAAAGAACGCTGCACTGACCTGCTGGATATGCTTCTGGTACCTCCTGTATTGAATGTGGATGTGATTTCAGCCAGTGTCGCTTGTCTGATACCATGGACAATTCTAGCTAAACACCCCTGGTCACGATCATTAAGCACCCGTGGTCAGCCACTGCGCTGTCCATGGTGGGTGGAAATGCCTTCCCCATCTGCCTGGCACCCACTATCATGCCCCGTTCAAACTCCGATAATTCACGTCGGCTTGCCATGAGCAGACTGGCTGGTGTTTAACCTGACTCATGAGAGAACACCTCACAGCTGATACTGCTCTGGGCATTCCCAAGCCGTCAAGGGACGGTGGCACCACTTAAAAATAAATTTACGTATTGCTATCCCATGACTTTTGGCACTTGAGTGTATATGAGTCCAAGAAAATTGCCATCATATTGTAATTATTACAGGATAGTTTCTACAAGCCAATCATAGCCTCTTTCAAATTATATTTTTGAGGTATCTTTCATATCCTGTGGCTTATGTATATATTCTGTGTTCACATTTTATGGATTGCCCATAAAATATCGGGTCAATTTATAATTGGTTTGGAATTGGGTTTTCCTTACAGTTAGCAATCCTAACATGTCATTTTTGTCCTAACTATGTCCCCTGACTTGTCAGTAAGTCAGAGTTTTAGGTATGAATTACAAGCATAAATCCATTTTACTCAAAGTAAATAACTGATCAGTGTAATAAAGTTACACCTATTGTGTTTTTGTTTTCAGCTTCCCTTTGGGCCACCTCCAGTGTTGCCAGATGTTGAGAAGCAATTGAAGGAATACTTACTGTGCCCTGACCATCTCCCAATTCATGATTATAAACAGGCTCAAAAGTATTGGCCCAGAGAACCAAATCCCAAGTCTCTTTATCACTTTGATGTTGCACCTTTGGGTACCACACTAAAGGTTTGTTTACCCGTAACATTAGTTACAGGCTTGTCTACATAGTCTGTCCTGTTCCACCTTCACCCATTTCTGCCCCATAATGTCTTGCAACATGCAGTGCTTGTATACAGCTTTGGAATTAACATTATTGGTTGCACACAAGTTCCCCTGTCGTGTTGGTAATCAGCATAGTCTGCATACTTTCATCAATTTGGGTCTTTACTCCATCACTGTATTTTTGTAATTTATAGTAATTACAACAAAACACAGGGTGCCCACAGATAAGATGGAGATACCAACAAGCTCTTCAGAGGGATGGAACAGATCAAACATGGCCTCATCCATGACAGTGGGGATGATAGTAATTACAGTTTGCCATGAATTTATTCCTAACAAGCGTGGCACATACTGTGGTTATAGCTTACTTCACATAGACGTAAATAGAGAGAACTGAATGTATATGCATGGCTCTTCACCAGAGTGCAAGACAAAATCATGAAATAAAGACAGCTAATAAAATCTTCAAAAATATGGTAAAGTGAAAGTAATGTGAATGACACTGTCATGAAGAAATTAAAAGCATAGACTGAAGTAAGGGGAATGTTTGCTACCGTTTAATTCAGAGTCTTTTATCTTTTTGTCTCCTGTGTAGGAAAACAAAGATTAAACTATATGTAGCTATACTTGTACCCATTGTTTTGTACAGATATGAAGTTTGTTGCTCAGAGGGAAGAACATAAATCACATCTCAATTATCATCCCATTATGTATTAATTATAGCTTCCCATAATGATCGAAGTCCTACTGAGTACTTCTGATTCAGTAATATATACGAAGGGGGACCCAAAAATAACCGGAACCGACCTGTTGCGCGCGCATGCTTTGTAGTTACGAGTTGTGCTGCTAGGTGGTGTTAGCTGGGGGTCTCCCGCGACTGTTAGTGAGCTGGCGTCAGTCTGAGTTAAGTGGTTTGTCTGTGGTGCTCTGTTGTGTGCGTTCCTGTTTCAACCCTTTGGCGATTAGTGAGATGGCCGACCAGAAGGAACAAAGAGTGTGCGTGAAATT